TTATTTTTTCAAAGAACCAACTTTTTGTTTCATTAATTCTTGTATGTTTTTTTGGTTTCTATTTCATTGATTTCAGCTCTTATTTTATTATTTCTCTCCTTCTATTTGTTTTGGGATTTGCTTGTTCTTGTTTTTCTAGGAGTTTGAGATGTATCATTAGGTCATTGATTTGGGATCTTTCAGTCTTTTTAATATATGCACTCATGGCTATAAACTTTCCTCTCAGGACTGCCTTTGCTGTGTCCATAGTTCGGTAGGTTGTGTTTTCATTTTCATTGACTTCCAGGAACTTTTTAATTTCCTCTTTTATTCATCAATGACCCATTGTTCATTAAGTAATGAGTTATTTCAGTTTCCAGCTGTTTGCATGTTTTTTGTCTTTACTTTTGTTGTTGAGTTCTAGTTTATTGCATCTGATAGAATGCATGGTATAATTTCTATTTTCTTATATTTGCTGAGGCTTGCTTTGTGCCCTAGATATGATCTATTTTGGAGAAGGTTCCATGGGCTGCTGAGAAGAATGTATATTGTGTAGAAGTTGGATGAAATGTTCTGTAGACATCAACTAGGTCCATTTGATCTATGTATATTTTAGATCTTAGGATTTCTTTATTGATTTTTGTTGGATGACCTATCTATTGATGATAATGGGTTTAAAGTCTCCCACAACCACTGTGTTGGAGTTAATATATGCTTTTAGGTCTTTCAGGGTATGTTTGATGAAATTGGGTGTTGACATTGGGTGCATATAGGTTGATAATGTTATTTCCTTTTGGTCTATTTCCCTTTTATTAGTATGGAATGTCCTTCTTTATCTCGTTTGATCAATGTAGGTTTGAAGTCTCTTTGTCAGAGATAAGTACTGCTACTCCTGCCTGTTTTGGGGGCCATTGGCTTGGTAAATCTTCTTCCAGCCTTTCATCCTAAGCCTATGCTTATTTCTGTTGGTGAGATGGGTCTCCTGTAAGCAACAAATTGTTGGATCTTCCTTTTTAATCCAGTTCATCAATCAGTGCCTTTTGATGGGGAATTAAGTCCATTAACATTAAGTGTTAGTACTAGGTATGTGGTGATTCCTGTCATTTAGTTGTCTTAGTTGTTTGAAGGTTTGATTGTGTGTACCTAAATTGAGGTTACTCTCTACTTTCTTGCTTTTTCTTTTCCTGTAGTTTGGTGCTGCCTGCCCTTTCATGGTTATGTTGGGTTTCACTTTCTGTGTGCAGAATCCCTTGAAGAATCTTTTGTAGTGGTGGCTTTGTGGTCACATATGTTTTAGTTTCTGCTTATCATGGAAGACTTTTATTGATCCATCTATTTTGAATGATAGTTTTGCTGGTAGAGTATCCTGGGGTTGAAGTTATTTCATTCAGTGCCGGAAGATCTCACCCAAGCTCTTCTTGCTTTTAATGTTTCTGTTGAGAAGTCTGCTGTGATTTTGATGGGTTTACCTTTGTATGTTATTGTTTTTTCTCTCTTACAGCCTTCAATATTCTTTCTTAGTCCTGTACTTGTTGTTTTAATGAATATGCCGTGGGTAGTTCTATTTTGTCTGGTCTGTTTGGTGTTCTGGAGGCCTCTTGCATCTATATGGGCATAGATTTCTCTAGATTTGGGAAATTTTCTGTTATTATTTTTGTTGAAATATTACACATTCTTTGCTTGCACCTCTTCTCCTTCTTCAATGCCCATGATTCTCAGGTTTGGTCTTTTGATGGAGTCAGTGAGTGCTTGTATTTTCTTTTCACAGGTCTTGAGTTTAACTAATAGTTCTTTGGTTTTTCCTTTAATTACAATTTCATCTTCGAGTTCTGAGATTCTGTCTTCTGCTTGTTCTGGTTTGCTGGATTGGCCTTCTATTTTGTTTTGCATTTGTGTTTCATTCTTTTTTCCGAGGTTTTCCATATCCTGAGTCCCTTCCTCTTTAATGTTGTCTATTTTTCCTGAGTTCATTTATCTCTTATTAATTGTGTCTTTGTTTCACTTTGGTGTTTATACAGTGCTTCTATGGTTTCTTTTATTTCTTCTTGTGCTTTCTCAAATTCTCTATTTTTGTTGTCTTGGAATTTCTTGAGTGCCCTCTGTACATTTTGGTTGACCCTATCCAGTATCATCGCTATAAAATTGTCATTGAGTACTTGGAGGATTTCTTCTTTCAGATTATTCTTGTGGGCTTCATTGGGTTCTTTGGCATAGTTTATCTTCGTTTTTGTTGGATTCTGGATCTGAGTATCTGTTTTCTTCATTTCCCTCTGGTTTCTGTACTAATTTTTTGCTGTGGGGAAACTGGTTTCCCTGATTTTTCTGTCTTCCCATCATTGCCTTTGGTATTGTGTTACTGTCCCTGTACTGTGTGCAATTAAGTATTTTCTAGTTTGTAATAATAACAGTGGTGATATTTAGAATGGAAGGGTGACTGTATAGCTATCCTTATCTCAACTAGCAAAAACCCTTGTTCCTTCCTATTATTGCTTATACTCTCTCTTCAACAAAATTAGAGGTAAGAGCATAATAGTTTCTGTCGGGTATCAAGGGTGTGAGGGGGAGAGGGATGGGGCGGAGTGGGTGGTAAGGGAGAGGTTGGGGCAGGGGGGAGAAATGACCCAAGCATTGTGTGCACATATGAATAATAAAAAAATAAAAATTAAAAAAAAAGCTTTAACGTAAACCAAGAGATAAAAAGAGGAAATAAATGCTAATTTTGCAAGAGGAAAAAAATCCTAGAATGGAAGGGTGAGAGGAGAGGGAAAGCAAAGAAGGTAAGGAAAAGGTAAAACAAATAAACAAACAAGTAAAAAAACAAAATAAAAAAACAAAAATCAGTGTCAAAGATATAAAAAGGGAGAGATAGTGTACTAATCAACAGTAGTTAAACAGGCATTAGAGAGACAGAGGATAAAAACAATCTCCAAGTTCAAATGCAATAAAGTTTCAGTTTTAATAATTTTGATGTTAGTCCCGCAGCCTCCAATCCTGGAGATGGTGTCTCAGAAATGGTTCTGTCGTTGTCTCATCAAAGGGGAAAGAAACCTAAAAAACAAAACACAACAAATTGTCCCAAGTTCAAATGCAATTCAGTTTCAGTAAGTTTTTCAGCATGCAGATGTAGTTCGGTTGTTGTCTCATCAAGGAAGAGAAAAAAAAGAGTCTGGAGACAGATTTGTGAATGTCTATCTGAGGCTGTGGCTCACCTGCCAACTGCTGTCAGCCTGCTGTTGCTGGAGGCGTTATTTATGCAGATCTCAGGAGTGAGCTTAGCACTCACCTGGCCCCTCAGGCTTTGTTTACTTAGAGTTCTCCTGGATGCAACCGCCACTGTTACAAGCTTTCCCCTTTCCAAGCACACTGGGGGAGGTGGCGCTACACACACCTTCTCTGGCGGGCATGTTTATTTACAGCTCACATGGGAAGTGCCCCCTTCCCCCCTCTCCTGTGGAGTTTTCCTCCCACTGCCACGTTTACAAGCTTTCCCGCTCCAAGATTGCTGGGTAGGTGCCGCCACTCCTGCCTTCTCCATCCAGCTTGTTTATTTACAGTTCCGTGAGGGATTGCCCCTCCCCCACTTCGGTGCTCAGGGCACCCTGCCCTCTTTGCTATGTGTCTTTTTTGTGGTTGTTATTATTCAGTTTTTTTTCTCTTTTTTTCCCTGGGTGGGGTTCAGTCTGTCCAGGGGGCTATGCTGATCTGGCCCAGGGTTGTCTGTGGGAGTACTGCGTGCTGCTTAGTTCACCTGGTGGTCTCCATCTTCTCATGCAGTCTGAGAGCTGGCATCTGGTGGCACGGGAGCCCTCCTGGTTTCTCTGTTTAACATGGAGTGGGGATGCTATGCATGGGCTGGGGGTGTGGAGGGGTCAGAGTTTTGCCTCTTCTCGGTGGTTTTTCCTGTAAGGTGTATCTCCAGCATCTCTCCAAGATTTTATTTTAGGAAGCACACTTTCTGCTTCCTCCCTCTAGTCGCCATCTTGGAATCCCCCCCTTTTCTCTTCTCTATGCTCCACCTTGGTCTAGGCCAGCAGCATGTCTTACCTGGATGTCCATTTCCTTTCCTGCCCACTTACATTCTCCCCACAACAGATAAATGATCTTTCCATGCTGGATTGGATTAGACCACTCACTGGTGTGAAGCTCTTTTGTGTCTTCTCATTACATGTTGCTGAAATAATACTTGTTTCTGTGGCCTATAAGACATCCCCCTTCCATAGCCTGGCCTTCTCTGTGACCTCATCTTTCTCTCCAGACCAGCCCCACCAACTTCTTTCTTCCTCTTAGACCTTCAGGTCTGTCTCACCTCTTGCCCTTTGCACCTGATGCTTTCTCCTACAACCCACTTTCCTATGTGCTCATAGGATGTGATTAGCATTTTCTCATCCTTCAGGTCTTTTCTGACCTCCAGTTGGAAATTGTCTGTTCTGCTGTTATATTATGTGTTCCATAATCCTCTTTCTTTCCTTTCCAGTACTATGATTGTCATCTATTGATCTATTGTGTATTTTCTCCTAGTGTCTTTCCAGGGACATGTGTTCCTTCATGCACTTTTCTGATGGCTTGAAAAGGGCCTGGTGTGGTGGCATGGTTGAGCAGGAGAGAAAGTGAGGCAAGCTAGCTTAGGGATAGTCTGGGACTGCTTCCCCACTTGACTCAAGAGTTCCTCTCCCTAGCCCACAAGTGAGAGGAGCCAGGTGATGACATATTGTTTCCCCACCTCCAAGTTCAAAGTGGTGTAAAAACGACCTACCAAAAGACTCCATCCCTTTCTTCTTCCCTTCACTCACCTGGCAGAATGGATGACTCCCCTTCCCTCAATAAAGCTTTTCTACCTCACCCAATCCACATGTTCTGCTTGGATTCTTCCATTTGGAACACAAGGACCAAGATCTTCTGAAAACACCATTTGCCAATAACAAAGGCAGCTTCTTGTCCCCTCTGCTTCTCCTGCAGAACCATCTGGCACTTCAGCTTTTGGAGCTGACTTTCCTGCTCTCTTCCTCTGTCTGTCCCTCTAGGCCTGTGCTCACCGCTGGAAGAACATCTACTATGAGACAGACCATATCCTGCCCCATGGCTTCTGCTATATCATTCCATCCAATCTCCAGGCCAAAGGGAGGGTGCTGATCCCTTGCTATGAAGGTGAGTGTGGATTGATTCTCCCTCCTCCCGCTGCCTGCCTCATAACTTAAGCAACCCCCACTCTCTCCCTCCACACCACCACCTGAACATTATTCTCTCCAGCTTTTCACCTGCTGATGAGAGGGCAGCACTGTTTGACCCCAGATGGCCTCTGATGCTGGAGGTCCTGTCCAGGAAAGAGGCAGGTATAAATGGGGCAGTGGTTCCAGGCACTGCTCAGACTTGCCTGGTTCTGCCGAATTCACCAAAACTCAGCCAAGTGATCAAACAGATCCCTTGGTTTCCTAGCACTGTCAGATGCTGTGGGACTGTGGGTAACTTACTTTCTCTCTCTGGACTTCAGTTTCCTCATCTGAAAGATTAAGAGTTGGCCTAGACAGTCATTAGGCTCCCACACAGCTCCTGGTTGTACTGCAGACAAATGCAGTGCTGCCAAAGGGGAAGAGAAGATTAAGAATTTAAAAAGCAACAATGTAGCAGAAATTTAACACCCTGGCTCATTCCAGGATCTGACTTTTCTTCTCTAGTAGTCTTAGAACTAGACAGAGGCCAGAGAATCTGTTGCCACTTCAGTACAGTGTTAAGAACACCTCACCAAGGTACACTTAAAGTCTTGTAAGGAAAAATGTGTCTTCTCAGGCACCCTGATTAAAACCTCAAATGCCTGGGCACTGGGGACAGTTGAGTCTATTACCACTTAGCCTGGTAGATTTTGAGCCTTAAGGATTCAGAGACTGCTGTCCTTTTCTTCTCTTCAGCAGTCTGTGCCCTCAGGTTTTCTTAGCCTGGCTCTGGTAACCTGGGACCTGTTCCCTTTCCATGTGCTGGACGATTTGGTTTTTAATTCCCCCTACTTTATTTGTTTGGACTGAAGTTTCACTGGCCTGTGTCCATATGACCTTTGGGCTTTCCTGGGATTTCCCAGGTTTCAGATTTTGTGCCCACCACAGGAGGCTCTGAGAAACACTAGCTAGATACTGCATTTTTCTGCCTCACAGAGGGCCCTTCTGGAGACTAAGGTGGCCTAAGTACAGTGCTCTGTGAAGTAGCCCCATGCAGAAGAACCAAAAGGGTCCCTGGAGGAAGCACAAACTCTTTCCTTCTGTGAGGGGTCTTTTTTATATTTTTTCCCTTCTCCACATGAGCATCTGGTTGGCTTTGACTGGGCCATGTAGGGATATTGAACTCTGGCCCTGTTTATCTCTGTATTGTACTGGAGAGGAGGAAAATTTCTTCTTAAAGTTAGGTGGTAATATAATCTGTTGTTGGTGGTTGTGGGGGGCAGAAATGACAGTTTGACTGCCCAGCTCATTCCTCCTTTCCCAGGGAAATAAAGGAAAAGGCCCCTGAAGCAGTTCACCGGGTAGGTTGTATCAGAGGAACAGTGAGGTGTCGACAGGGGTAAGGGAGGTAGGAATTATTGAACCTAAACTAGTTGTACAATAGAACCAGAAATTTGGTTTTCCCAAAAGATAACATTTTATGAAATGGGGCCCCATTGCTACCCCCAGAGATTCCTTAGCATACTACATAAGCACGAGGAAGTGAAAAGTCAGTACCTTGAAGAGGGAGCTGGAGTTGAATGTCCATACTGTTGTCACTGTGCCCAGCATAGCTTATGGTTTTTACTTTTTGTTCTATAGCTGTGGGATCAGCAGTAGGTGGGTGTTGGTCTGGGGACTTTATATTTTCTCTCAATAGTCACAAAAAACCCTGAAAAAAACAGAGTTTGGTTTGATTTTAAGTATTTATTTTAGAAGTTATTCAAGAAGATACCATTGGGGGTATGGGGTAGTGAAAAAGGAAAGGGAAGGAAGCTCATGAAGGATGTGCTACTGTAAAGTACCACCTTAGGCAACTGAGGAGCAGTCCCTAGGGGACATTCCATGTGCTACTGCAGGACATATATCTCTAGTTACCTAGCTGTGGTCTTCATCCATCTGGCATCTTGTTCTGTGCATGTGTATGGCAGGGGGTGGTGCTGGCAGGGGGCTGATAGCAGTTGGCTATACCTCTGTGTCACAGAAATGGTGAAGATTGAAGGCAGAGGATGAGCCACTCAAAGGCTGGCTTCTGTGTCCCCATTCCCCTGCTACAGGTGAGGAACTCAGGACACAGTTTAAGTCACTATGCTTACTCAGACAGTGAGTAAATGATAGAGTGAGCTTTTGAATTTTGCATTTGTCTCACTCAGAAAATCATTTTTCATCCTGGAATTTAGGGGTTTTAGAGATTCTAATTAAAATGAGAATTAAATAAAAGCTAGCCAACAACACTCACAAAACAGGAAAGGGTGACTGTTTGATTCTACTATTCAAAGGTAGAGTCACGAGATGAGGGGATGTGGCCATTTGGGTGCTCTCCAATCAGGCCCTGCCTGTCTTCCCCTTCCTCTCTGATGGTGGCTCTGATGCGATGTTTGGTGGGATAGTGAACACCCATGCAAGATGAGGCAAGCAGTAGTAAGGTGTGGTCTGTCCCACGTGCCCTTCACTCACGATAGAGTATGTTAGCTTTAAGCTGGGCTGTATCAACCAGTGTGTTTCTGCCTGTCTCTCCCACTGCTTCTGACCATGCAGCATTTCCCACATAGCTCACTGGTTCCAGAAGAGAAACAGATGGAGCAGACCTGAACTGTACCTGCAGCTAGAACCCACCTTGGTCAGCTAAGCCCCAGCCCATGTGTTGTTCAAGTGAGAAATCAATGTTTGGTATTGCATGCCACCTTGTTATGCAGCAATAGCTGACCTATACAGAGCTCATCTCAAGAACCCAGATTCCACTTGCAGTGTAGCTGGGAATGGGCCTCATTGCTTTGATTGTTCTTTAACTTCATAGTGACCAAATAGAGCCAGAGAGGAAATTAGCAAGATGGTTTTGCCCCTACCCAATCCTTCTTTCTTACAGGCACACACACACACCCTTCCTAACTTGTTCTTTAGTTGAAGGAACAATAAGGGGTGGGGCTATTGTGAGGAGCATTGGGGTATAAGAGTAGCCCTTTAAAAAATAGGGGACTAAACAGAAAGTTTCTGTGTTCTTTGGTCCTGTAAGTGGAGAGGGATGGTGGATACTCAGATTTCTTTTGATGACTGGACTGGCAGGGATGAGGGTGAATGGGAGGCAGGCCACAGTTAAAGGACTCTTGTCTGTGCTGTTGGTTTTGGAGATCTCTTCTTCCCTGTTTTGTGGCCTAAACAAAACCAACTTTGGCTGTTAAAACAGCCTTTATTTTCTCTTAATGTGGAAAATCTTAGTGATGCAAGAAGCTCTCTTTTCCAGGTGGGGATCACATTACGGTTAAGTAAAATGGAAGAGTTTAGAGTTTGACAGGATTTTTCAGATGTCACGTAGACCAGTCTCCCTTCTGGCTTGGGTAAGCCTGAGTTTTCCTTTGGTTATTCATTTTCCTCACAGTGTAGAGGCAAATTGGCATGGTGGCTGGAATGAGACTCAGGACCCAGAATGCCAGAGTTCAAGTCCTGGCTCTGCCACTTCTTCCTAATAACAGTGTGACCTCTGATGAGTTATTTAAATTCTAAGGTGGCATGTATCTGCTAATACACTATATGCTAAACATATATATACTAATATACTATGTTGTATGCTAATGTACTATATGCTAAGCAAGGTTTGTTAGTCACTATAGTGTAACTTGCTTGTGTTTCAGGAATAGAGCCCATTTCATTCTGTTAAGTTCCTGGTAGACACCACATAGTCAAAACTAAGTAACACTGTTCCAACTGTCAAGAAGTTCCCTATATGCAGGAGAGAACAGAGTGGACACTATACTTGAAGGTGGGGGTGCTCATGCATGTTCTGCTGGGTACCTCTCCTCAAGGACTTGAGCTACTTTACAAGTGCCAGATAGCATCGAGGCACGATTATTTCATTTTACAGTAGGGAAAACTGGAACCTGCTTAGAGTCTGTAGCATGTTGAAACTATGGAAATGAGGAATGGTGGAAATACACTGTTGGGTTTGGCATGAGGGGATTCCTGCATCTTGCTCATTCCTGGGCAATGGTGGACAGACCAGTGGAGGTACTGGTAGAGGTTTGTTTGGCTGGCCCTTTCACTCTGGTACCTTCTTGGTGCAGGCTAGTTGCCTAGCTCTGTAGCCAGTGTGGATGCTGTATTATCTGCATTATATTTACCTCTCTGGGTTATTATGAGGAGCTTCTGAGAAACTTAGGCCAAAGTGCTCAGAAAGACCACTCTTGTTCTGTAAATGCAGCTTCCTTATGGGCTGCACGAAGGCCAACTGTGTTTTCTTCAGAAGTCTGGAAGCTTGGTTTGGTGAAGGAAACCCTTTAAGTGTGGCATCTTTTCAAAATGTTTCAAGCTCGTGACTTCTTTAAAAAACTGGTCTTTGGTTTAACACAGGACGTTTATTGCATGGCATTTCAGGTGCTTCCTGTTTCTGGTCGGGTGGGAGAGGCTACACAAATATCCTGTTAGAACAGGGAAATATAGAAGGAATGGGAAATAAAAATGTGTTCAGAATATAAAATAAGAAAATTTTCATGGTATGGTCCTTTCAGTAAGACAGTTTTGTTTGCATTTGTTTGATATGAGAACAGTATTATTTGGTGTTTGTTTGGTGTGAAAAGATGAGAGCTTCTGTGCAATAATAGGGGGGAAATTATCTGCAAACTAGAGTGAGTGCTATAAAACATTAGTTACTGTTGGCCAAACCATGGTATTTTAGGACTCCCCAAAGTTAAGTCAGTGCATGTGATAAAACTAAGTACAGACATTTCTTTCATCCTTTGCCCTTGAGCCCACTGAGGCAAAAAGCCAGAGCCTTGGAGAAGCAAGACTGCAAACATTTTTTTATTGTGACAGAAAAATCTCATGAATATGGAATAAATTAACAAAAACTATTCAAGACAAAACATTAATAAAGAAATGCAATTAAAGGCAATTATGATAACAGTTGTATATTAGACCAAACTTTCAGGATCTGGCTTTACCTCTCATTCCAATAATTGCACCTGT